ACAAAACACAAAGTCACAGAATTTAAAGTTAAAAAGATGCTTAAATATTATTTTGACCAGCTTCTGTCATTTCCAGATTAAAACAAGAGACCCAATTTCACTCAGTCATCAAATGAGTGAAAAAAAACCAAAGTTCATGTATCTCATTCTTTCCACATATCCATTTGATGAACCTTGAAACCCCTACTCTAGACAAAATTAAATTTTAATGCCTGTGTTGGTATTACTCAACTGAAAAAAGTCAGGGTGTTTTAAGTCATTTCTAAAGATGCTTGAATTAATATCTGTTATCACTTTAAATCTGTGATCACCCTAGGACTGAATAGTCAAACTGAACAGAATCACAGAGTTAATCCAGCTGCAAACTTCATGGCTGATTCAGTGATACCAGCTACAATCACACATAGATAAAATATACTTTTTTGGGGAACAAAAGGCAATCAGGGGCTCTCCCTGGTGGCATACTGGAAGCTCTCAGAAGCCACTGCATCACGAGTTTGACCCCAGCCAAGGAGATAACCCACTTGGTGTGGCAGACCTCTCCTGATCCGCCCCCTGCTCCCCTCAGCAGTGTATTTCAATAGATCTGCCTGTTCTGTTCCCCATTTTGTCTTTGGTGAATCTTCTCACCCCTAACACCTCTGACCTGTACCCCAGTTCTATAAGCATAACTAAATAAATGTTAAAAAAAAAAAAAAGCAATCAGACACACCATCAAAAATGGTCCATTTTCTCCTGTATTCAGACACATTATTGTTTTAGGTTTAAAAGGAGTTTTTGAACATTGTGTGCAAAAACATTTCTCACAAAAGTAAGGCAGTTTTGTTTAAGACATCTCCACTTTATACTCCCTTACAAAACTTACTTACCAGATGCCTTCCCTCCTCCTCTCCCTAATCTCTAGTCACCCATGTCACATAATTCCAGGTTCATTTAGAATAGCAATCTAGATATATCAGAAATCTACTTGATATATTTTACATCTAGGTATCTTTCCACTGGTAAATATTAAATATGTAAAAGGGGGTCTAATGAGGTTATTTATTCCTCTGTAGATTCCAGGAAGAATGAGAATTAGTCACACATCTGTTCTTAATTTTCCTTTCATAAATTAGCTTTAATATAAATTCAAAAATATAAACAACAATAGGGTTAGAGAATTACCTGAGAACTTTAAAATGACTCCATACATATTTGATAATTTATTCAGAATTACTTCTTTTTTTAAAGATTTAAAGATTTATTTATGCATACAGAACTGGCCACAGGTACAGGGGTGGTGAGAGGATTCACCAGAGACAGAGTGAGGAGCAGAACAGGCAGGTGGACAAAGTACACTGCTGAGGGAAGCAGCAAGCAAGATGGAAAGGTCTCTTTCAACATGTGGGTCAGCTCCCTGTCTGGGCATTGAACTCACATTTCAGTGGCTGGGTCAGACCTTGCAGTGCTGTGCATTAATCCAGTGGACCACCAGGAAGAGTCCTCAGAATTATTTCTAAAGTAATCTTGCAATTAAAAAAAAAAAACTTTACATTTTAAAACAAAGAACACTCTTTTTTTTTAACAAAAAAAAAAATAATTTTCATTAGCCAAGCTATGGGAATAACCTAAATGTCCAAAAACAAAGGAGTAGATCAAGAAGACTCGGTATATATGTATTATGGAATACTACTCAGTGATCAAAACAGATAAACTCATGCTATTTATGGCAACAATAGATGAAGCTCAAAAGGGTTATGCTAAGCTAAAATAAAGTCAGAAGGAGAAAGAGAAATACTAGATGATGTCACTTACATGTGGAACATAGAGAAAACAGACAAATTAAACCAAACTCAAAAACTAGCCCATAAAGTTGACTGCAGAAATGAGGTATCCAGATGAAGTACAAGATAGGGAGGGTCTAGAACAAAGTGGGAGAAGAGTACAATGGACTGTGGTGATGGATGCTCTGAGGTAATTGAAAGGGGAAATCCAGTACTTCCAGAACATTAACAATGATTAAGCCAAAAGTACTTCAATTAAAAAAAAAAAAGTAACTTTGTATTTCCAGGATGAAAAGTCAAATTACTATCAGTCAAGTTACTTATTACCTAACTTTCTTTTTTATGAATGACTGACTGAATCTAAAATTCAAAACCTCTAGTTTCTTTTAAAAGTCCATAAGGGACAATGGGTGAAGATTATGGGTGCTTTGGTGGGGGGTGTGGTATATGTCTATATTATATTAATTTTTTAAAAAGGTAAATTAACAAGATTCCACCAGTAAGTGGAGCTAACATTAACAATTCCTTGTTGAATATGTAAGTGTTTTAGTGCCCCAACTACAATCATTTATTGAAATAAAAAGCATTTTACACATATGTAAAATGTTTATATTGTTCAGAAAAACAGGTAAAACTTAACTAATTTACTAGCTACATGTTTCCAATATTTTAATGCCTCAGGTGTCCTCACGTAGTTCATGTAAGCAGAATTTCAGTGTTACCTCAGTTAAAAATAATTAATGAAAAAAATAAAAAGTATTCTCAGCCCTTCCTGGTGGCGCTGCGGGTTAAAGCACAGCACTGAGAATCTAAAGCGGCTTCCACATGAGTTCGATTCCCGCATGAGTTCGATTCCCGCCTGCCCCGGAGGTGACCACATGGCGTGGCAGACCTCTCCTGACCCGCCCGCTGCTCTCCTCAGCAGTGTACTTCCTCATCTGCCTGTTCTGTTCCCCACTCTGTCTCTGGTGAAGCCTCTCACTGCCCCTGAGCCTCTGGCCTGTACCCCAGTTCTGAATGCAGAAATAAATCTTTAAAAAAAAAAAGTATTCTCAAACCATGGAGTTTTTGTATGATACAAACTATTCTAATTTTATTATGAAAGATAAGAATGAAATCTGTAATTGAAATACTCATTGTATCTTTTTTAAAACATGTGTTTTAAAAAGACTCATGCAAAGGTAATACCATAACTTGATGTTTTTGTGTTGTGGCTGGACTTTGAATACTGACTGTTAAATTGCATCATGTTTTTGTTAGAAGAGTCTACTAAAGATAAGAATTACTTGGCTATGGGCATGTCTATGTTTAGACCCAGTATACCAAGAGTTGTTTTGTAAAGAATAATTTAGTTTATGACTAAGCTTAGTCATTTGGCTCATTTAGTAACGTGACTACATGCCAGTCACTTTACAGCAAAGGAAAAACATTTATTTGAATTTTAGGACTGCAGCCTTTTGGGACCAGAGACACAAGAAAAATGGGAGCTGTGTGACTGAATTACCCTGGGTGGGAAGCACTTATTTGCACAAAAAGGCAGACAGTCACTATACAGGTCTGCTTTATGATAATGAGGTCTGTGTAGTTCTTATTGGCAAAAAGTTTATTAAGACATAATTGGTCAAATTTCATCCTGGGATGACTTTGGTTTCAGGCACGGGTTCCTTTTCTTCTCTTTGGTTGCGTCTGGCTGAGCATGTACTGTCAGGCCAGAGCAACCAGATTTGCTTGTTTGGTTTTTACTCAGACTCAGGATGACTCCATCTTTGTTTTTCCGTCTTATATTACTTATGATGAAAGCAATTTTGGAACAGATTGCTTCTGAGCAACAAGATGCACTTCTCTAAAAATGATACTGATCAGGACCCTCCCTGGTGGCGCAATAGGTAAGAAGGCAGCACTGCAGGCTGGCACAGATGCTTGCAGTGTGAGTTCGATCCCGCCCAGGAGGTGATCCGTGTGGCACGGCAGACCTCTCCTGACCTGCTCCCCCCAGCAGTGTACTTTGTCAATCTGCCTGTTCTGCTCCCCACCTGTCTCTGGTGAAGCCTCTCACCACCCCTGCACCTCTGGCTTGTACCCCAGTTCTGTATGCATAAATAAATAACTAAAAAAAAAATGACACTGATCAAAGCAGTCTACGTTGTATCCCCTGAAAATTGAATGTTGAAGCCCTAACTACCAAAATCTAAGAATATAAACCTATTAGGAGATAGGGTCATTAAAGAGGCAAATAAGGTTAAATAAGGTCATTTAAAATGGACCCTAATCCAATGTGACTAGTGGCCTATCGGAAGAGGAAATGTGGGCACAAACATGAAGAATGCAGGCCAAGGGAGGACACACAGAGAAGCTGGCTGCCAAGTCCAGAAGGGTCTCTGGAACTCTTCTTATAAGCAAAGAATACTTTCTTCCACAGTCCCCCAAAGGAGACAGCTTACTGACATCTTGTTCTCATACTTCCAGCCTCCAGAATTTTAAGAAAGAATTGTAAGGAAGTCAGCCAGTCTATGGTATTCTGTTCTGCCAGTTCTAGTAAACTAATACACTCTCTTTGTTCAATTCCTATGTGTTCATCACTATGAATCTAAGATATATGCACACTTATTCCCATTGAAATGGGAAACAATACACTTCACTTTTGGCGATACTGTCTAAGAATTCCATTAATCTAATCAAGTAATAAAATACTGTTGGCTAATAACAAAAAATAAACCATCCAAGGAAGAGAAAAAGGAAAATTAAAAGTATTGTAGTTACCTCCTGGATCAGAACTAGAGACAAGGATGTTGAGGCACTGTAGTATTATATTGTAAGGCCTTCTGTATGTCACTTTCATGCATTACTTTCACTAAGACTAGGTAGACAAAGATAGGGAGGTAGGTAATTAGAGAGAAAGAGAAATAAACAAACCAATGACTATGGAATCACATGTAAACATTCAAATCCACAATGAAGTTTTCTTTAATCCTCCACTTAAAATTATTCACAGGGGCATTTTGATTCTCTAAAGTTCATAAACAGAATTCAGGTCACCCAAGCAGATGTAATTTATTGCTTTTAAGCCAAAGCCCTGGCTAGCTAAAAGGCTGCCTCTAGGAATTAACCAGAACAAAATCCTGATTAAACAACTAATTGGCTTGTCTACTAATGAAAAGAAAAACAAAGTACATTTTCTCTACCTCAAGAAACACACAGAGTTATAAAAAACAGGCTTTCAGAAGCACCTCAGAGAAGATGTTTAAATCCCTGACAATAAAATCCAACAAGGTGAATCCTGGAGAAGAGAATGATGAGAATAAACAAAGTCCTGATCCAACCAATCATTCTCAACAATCCACAAGACAGGTATGATACTTATATTTCTAAATTAGTTTTGATGTTCATCATTCCTCCTTGGGTGATGGATTTAAATCAACCCTGTTACATATGAAATTGCTCTGCAGTTTTACCTGCTACATGTTTGTTTTGGGGGATCTAATCTCATTATTTTTTATATACTGTGTTTACTTCAGAACAGAATAATAATGTTTAGAAAAAAATATTTTGGATTTAAAAACAAATTAGATTCCTCATTGCTAATTTTTCTTTTACTATTATGTCTCAGATATTAATTGTATATGTGATTTGTGTCAACAAAGACTGTCAGACATCCAGGTTTTAGTAAACTATACTTCAATAGCAGTTTCTCTATTTCAGGAGTTCTTAACAGGGAGCAGTGTTGCTGCTCAAGTTATTAAAATCTGGAAATATTTTTGTTTGTCATGTCTCAAGAGAAGGGATGTTCAAAGTGTCTAGTGTGTAAAGGCTAAAGATACTGCTAGTTATTCTACAATGTACAAAATAGCCCTTCACAACCTAGAATTGTCCAGTTCAAAATCTAACACTGCAAAATGGAGAAACTACCGTCAGCGTATATTTTCAGAGTTCTAAGTCTTTTCATCTGTAAAATAAGAATAATACCTGCTCTGTAGCCTTGTTAAACAAACTAGAAAGTATATATAAAGCACAGCAGAGCCTTCCCAAAGGCAATTATTGTTATCACTAATCATTCATGTGGTAGATTTAAGTCCAAAGTGACAATGATTTGATCAGTTTTCACAATGACAACTTCTAGGACAAATTTCCTTAGACTTACCTAAACTCCTTAGACTTACCTAAAAAACTACATACATTTTTTAGAGCAATAGTTTTCCCATATATAAGAATAGCATAAAAGATGTCAAGTTAAACAGTTATCTACCTAAGTGACTAGAAGAGCAAGTTCTAATGATTGAGATTTAAATGAGCCTAGCACATAGAAAGCACTGAGATTATTAAATACTAGCCCTGAAAAATTTGCCTTCCATTTCTGATTAATGTTGACCTTTTTTTTTTTTTTTTTTTTGCAGTGGAGAATGGGTAATTGTTCCATGAGAGTGGCCTTGACTCCTTATTAATTCTATGTTGAAATAAATAATGCCACAACTTAAATTTCATTTAAATGTTTAGAAACATATGGAAAACCATGGATGTTGAGCTGGGTACTTTTTTCAGCTAGCCTTATTGTATTTCTCTGTGGGAAAATCAATAGAGTGATGTTTAACCCTTGTGTGTTACAATTATTTTCTCACAAATCATATAAATAGCTAATATGTTAACTCTTGTGGAGGTGTAACATGACCATTGCCATGTACTATGATATTCTCTAAGTGCTATTGTATTGAATCCACACACAGCTACCAAATGACAGTGCCTGAATTAGAATGCTATCCTATCAGACTTCAGTGCCTGAGAACTAAATCTCTAGGCTTTACTGCTTCCAAAGAGGATACTAGATGAATCAACTTTTGAAATAGCACACCTGCAGAAGAAAAGGATGTTAGAAGAAAGGGAAAAGAATGGAAACTTCCTAAAAAAGTTGTCTTGTCTTCAGAAATTAATGCCGGAGAACTATTAAGTCTAGACACAGCTCTAGAACTTTGCTTTCTTTCATGCCATTTTGACAGTCAAAATGTACTGATGTTAATCATTAAAGCAGTAGGCATCTCATTTTATCTTAAAAGTCATATTTTGGGGATTTTTTGTATCCATTATTTCCAATAGCCTGTTGGTAGAGAAAAATAGTTTTTTTTTCTAGTTTAAAATGTTATGTTATAGTTAAAAATAACAGAAAGTGAAAGCCATAGTTTACTCCATAGAATGCAATGTTTTAAAATGGTACTTTTATGCAAATAGGTGATTTGACTACTAAAGAAAAATATCTAGAAATGAATTTCCATTTACACTACTTTTTCATATATCATTTAAAGAGTTGATCCTCAAACAAAAATACCATAGATGATTCCCATTTGTAAATAGGCAATAAATCAAGAACTGCAAACTCAGACTAATCCAAACTCTCTCTTGCATTCCAGAATAAAATACTATTCATGTAAATCTATATTTGTATATTCATAAATGATATGATGGAAATGTTTATAACTAACATCATAATATGATGTGAAATTACTTGATTGAAAGCAGGTTTATCATTACGTTATCATATATCCAGGAATCCAGACCTTTCTAGTCATTCAATCAATTTCCTATTCAAAATATGAGAATAATAATCGCTGCTTTGCCTAATACATATAGTTAATGTGCTGCTTAAATTAAATCATCTGATTTACTTACTTCCCAGTTTATTCCCTTTTTACATTAGAATGGACCACTCCACCTTTATGCTCCATCTCTGTCCTCTAAAACATTGTCTCATTATCCATAGCATTCATTACACTTATTTTTTGTGCCTGTTCCCCCTCCCAACTGTGTGCAGATTTGAAGACAGTCTTTCCAGGTTCTGACTTCACATTTTCTTTTACCCTACTTTCATGGAAACCTCCTCAGGCACACACCATATCCAGTGAGACTCACTACCTCTCAAAGGAAAACTGATCCTCAGACAAATAATGGGTTTGAAGGAAATAAAATCATGGAGAGAAGAAAAGGGCTGGGAATAATGGAATTGAGCTGCATTTTTCTCTCTAATATTTTGAATTCTACCACTAAACAATCATACCAAGACTTGGAACAGTGCAGGAAGTGAAGATCAGAATTGGGAGAAAAATGTCTCTGCACACACAAAGATGCTGCATTCCTGGACCCAATTATCTATGGACATCAGAGTCTGGTAGAGTCTAGAGTATAATAAAGTAGATTATATGTCCTTTATATATAGTATATACAGAGTATTGTAGAGTCCAGGATGTTCATTTAAGTGCAGAGATATTTTTAGTGTATCATAAACATAAATGATTAATGAGTGGTTTGATAATTGAATAAAAATTCATATTTTACATCCAATTCCATTATGTGAATTCTATCATAGACAATCTTTATTTTTCTCAAAGGAAGAAAATAAAAGTGAAAAGAAATCTCTCAAAAGCAATCTGAATCCAGACAAATTTGATGAGTCACACACCAAACAACAAGGTCAGTACCTACCTCTGTAAGGGAAAAACGTAAAATATTATTTCTCTAAAATGTGTTGTCTGATCAAGCAGTTGATTTGGCCTTACTCAAGTAAAGTGTCTAAAGTTACGCTTAAGACTATTTGAAAGTTGAATTTTACAAAGTCATTCTTTCTTCATTCAGTCACTTATTCAGTAAATGTTTCTTTATCACCTATCATATGCCAGACACTGACCTATGGATAGCAATACAGTTGTGAATATTATGGACCAAGTCTATGTTAATATGAGCACACAAGAAGCAACAAAATTTCAAAATAAGATTATAAAAACAATAAAATAGATGTGGATAGTACATGTTAAAAAGTGCAGTGCTCATATCTCTGTTCTTTTAAACTCAGTAGAAATCTCATCTATTCCTAAGCTACTATACTCTACAGATTCCAAATTCATTTCAAATCAATTCCTTCTTAAGACCTTGTGCAATATTTTCCAAGTAACCACTGGACATACACAATTGTTTGTTATTTTGCTGCCTTTCCAAAGATAAGCCCCCTGTCCTGATTATTTCTATTTCTGGCCTTGCTGTTCTTTCAGTCTCTTAAGCTCAAAACCTTATTCATGTTACAGTCCTCTACCTAGGTTGTCCTATAAAGGAAATTGGCAACTCTCCTTTCATAATGGCCCTCAAACCCATTTCATTCTTTTCCCAAGTCATCAGTACTATCCTGGATCAGGCCTTTATAAGTCAAGCTTATAATACTCCTGGAGTCTCTAAGTGGTCTCCTCTGGTGAAGACTCTACTTCATCCCATCTCTTCTTTTCAACTATCCCAAACATAATTAGCCCATTACTTTCAATTAACCAGCATTTACCATTTTGATCTCACATCTCTGCTCAAGAATCTAAGTCCCTCTATATTGTCTGCAGAACAATATCTAAAATATTTCATCTAATTTTGTATTACTTCTGCAACCTGTCTCATCCTCCCTCCTTCAGACTTTCTTTCCTACTTTTCCCCAGTATAAAGATGATACAAGACCCAAGAAAATACCAAAATGACAGATGAATCAGTAAAACAGATCATACTATTAAAGAATAAAAAAAAATTATTATCATAAAATTAGAGCAATTTTTCTTTCATCTATTAGACAGTGTGCATGATAGTTTTAATGACTTCCCATTTTTACTAGCACAATATTATAAAATAGGTTATTTCCCATCAAAATAAATGAAATTACAAGCAAAATTATAAAGAATATTATAATACAGATTATAAGGAATAAACAAATTCCTGGCAAGGAATATCCCCACAATCAAAAGTATCGCTCTGAATAAATGGCCCTGTTCTCTTTATGCTTAAAACCTCCTTTAGAAGAGTAAAAGGATCTATGTGAAGAAAATAACTAAATTTAACAGAAAGCTATAGAGTAAATTTAAATAACTACAGGAAAATAATATGCTCTCGAGAGAATAACTTTATTTAGAAGATTTTGATTCTAAATTAATTTCTATCTTTTTATGATCTTCTTTCTACCTCTTTCAAAAAGATTTTTTTTTTTAAGAAAGGGGAGGAAATTTAACCTTTTTGGCTTTCTTTGTTCATTTATTTACTTATGTTGAAAAATAGCTCTTGGCTTTTATTATTCAGACTAGAATGTAAGGAGTACTTACTTGACCTATATAGATCAACTCTTTTCACCACTGAATTTCCATTTTACTCCAGAAATTAGCAAAACTGTCACCTAGATAGTCAGCACTTACTTACCAGAGGAGAAAAGGAAACAATCTAAGTATTTTATAGTAAGTTTTCAACATGAATGAAATTTAATATTACCTTCTACTTGATAACTAAAGCTTGACTACTCAATTGTTAAAGTATCTGATTTAAAATATTTAGCATGTTGATTCACCAGAGGTAAAAAGTAATAATCATGACTTCATTTCTAGTAAAAGTTCACATATATAAGACTTCCACATATACTAAGATTCATAAACCAAGAAGATACAACAAAACATGTGTTCTTACTCATTGTTCAATTTTTTTTTAAGAGTAAAGGACATACCATGGGGGCTCTGGGGGTGGGTGCAATGTGGAGACAACACTTGAGAGAAAAGACCCTTTCCTTCAGAAACACAAACTGTTTCTGTATGCCAACATTGCCTCAATTAAAAAAGAATAATAAAGGGCTCTCCCTGGTGGCACAGTGGGTTAAAGCACCACATTATGAAGCTCTCCAAAGCTACTGAAGTACAAGTTCGATCCCTGGCAGGAAGCTGACCAACATGGCGTGGCAGACCTCTCCTGACCTGCCTACTGATCCCCTCAGTGTATTTCTGTAGATCCCCTGTTCTGCTCCCCACTCTGTCTCTGGTGAATCCTCTCACCCACCACACCTCTGGCCTGTACCTAGTTCTGTAAACATAAATAAATAAATCTTTAATAAAAAAAGAATAATCATCTTCATTGTATAAAATAGTATATGGTTAGCAAATGGAGGTGTTGAGAAGAAGAAAAATCTTTGTAGAAGAAACCAGATATATAAAATCCAAGGGAAAGAAAAACAGGCCACAGAATCATCACAGTATTAATAATACCATAATATTTTAAAAAATGTTTTACTATGAGTTATTTCATAATAGTCATTGTTTCAAAACTATGATTCTCACATATAATACAACCTTATTGACATGAAATCAAGGATCCTATCTTTGGAATGAGAAGCTTATTCTTATCCTGTTATACTTTTTCCAAAGTGTATTTGTAAGCTTAAATTTTTTATAGCTAGCAATAAAAATTATTTTGTGGGAGCTTCATTTAACAGGGGAGCTATTTGAGAGGGAAAGAAAAAAATGTTTCATTTAAATTTGTACATTTAGCTTGTCTTCGAGACTTTAATAGGAATATTTTGTCTTGGAAAAGCAAAATTTTTAGTGTTAAAGATAGTCTCTTGCATGTGCTTGGTATTTTTGTGTACTTCACTTCAAAACATGCAGGTGCGATGTCATAATATCTGCAGATGTTGATTGCTGATTATAGAACTCTTATCTTCTGCAGAACATGGTCTAATTCATATCTGAAATGGAAAATGAAGAACGCAACATTTTTTGGATTTGAAAAGATAATTTACGAAAGTCCTTTTTTGATTACAATTATCTTTCCTAGGCTTCTAGTTCACTTACATTACATTAAATGTTTACTTAAACAAATATTTTGGTATTGGTAGAAGATATAGAAATCACTTCCCTAATAGTTTATGATGCCTTAAGGTGACTCTATGTAAAATCAATCAAAGTTAAGATCACTAGTGTGGTGGGGCAGGCTAACTAATGGCCCCTGAAAGATGTCTACATCCTAATGTCCTAAATCTAAGAATTTGTTAGATGGGGGGAAACTGCTATTATTAAATTAAGATAGAACATTCTGGATTTTTTGGGAGGTCTCAATGTGATCAAGGGATCCTAACAAGAAGGTAAAAGCATCAAAGGCAGAAAGAGGTGAGATGATGGAAACAGGGTTGGATTGACCCTTACTGAAGATGGAGGAAGGGATTGAGAACCAAGGAATGCAGTTGGTCTGCACCAGCCTGCAAAGGAAAGAAAAGAGAGTCTTTTCTAGGACCTCCAAAAGGAATGCAGTACTTCAGACATATTTTAGACTTGTGACTTGCAGAAATATCCGAGAATAGACCTGTGTTGCTCTAAGCACTTAAGTTTGTGGCAATTTGCTACAGCAGCAATAGAAAACAAATATGCAGAAAATAATAAATAAGAATTGTTTTCATAAATACAGTTTAATGAATTATTGGAAGCAAATATGCATGTAATTGCTGCCCATAAAAGAAACAAAACAACATCATTCTTACAATGGAAAAATATAAAAATAAAACTAATATGTAGAACTTTAATTACTCTATACTTTTAAAAATAACCAAAAATGAAATTGAATTTTACTCCAAAGAATCATGTAAATTCATAGAAAAGGCAAGATGTTGCAATGGAAGTTTTAGGCCCCTTAATTCAAAGTGTAACTCTGCTACATACTAGCTTTGTTTAATTGTAGTCAAGATACTAAACATCTGCCTCTCAGTTTGCTGATATATAAAACTCTCATATAGATAATACACAAGATTATGGGTATAAATTAACTTATAAATATATATAACTCTATGAAACATTTAGCACTGAGATTATACTACAATGTGAAAGAAGTCAGACAGAATCAAAGAAGATCCTGCATGCCCTGTCTGAAGCAGCCAGATGCCACTCAGCTCCAGCAACAGCTGCCACATGCAGGTGAGGTAATCGGCTGCCAGGCATTTCATCTTCAGTCTAGATAGACCGCAAATGCAAAATTTAATTTAAAATCTCCCAATTTTAAATGTTGACTCTGATGGTTAAAATATTCCCTTTTTTAGATCATGCTTAGTGAAATAAGCCAGAAAGAAAAGGAAAAATACCGGATGGCTTCACTCATAGCAGGAATATAACAGACCAGACAAGAAAATGATAATAATAATGAACAGCCATATACCAGATACATTTTATGGGATGGGATCAAAAGCAATGGGGGAGAGAAATACACTGGACTATGGGTGATGGCACACAGGTGATTTGGTGATGGAAAACCCAAGGGGATTGCAACTGAGATGGAAAAATGCACAAAATGGTGTAAAAATAAACTATTATGTTATTCCAAAAAGAAATTCCCTTCTTTAAATCACAGTGGGAAAAACTATATTTTTTCAAATTTAGGCACATGACCATTTTGTGACCTCTAACCAACCAAATGGTAACTGCTCAATGTTATTAATGCCTACCAACATTGGCAGTCCTCGATAAGATTCTGAATCTGGCAATGTTTATGATTATCCTCCTACTCTTACCTTTCTCTTCACTCATTACCTCCATCCCAAAGTGTTGCCAACACACTGCAAGTGCAGTATCCTCCCTGGGCCTCTGGTACCAAGTAAATCTCCACGTCAAGAACTCTAGTCCAGATTTAGCACTTGTTAAACTCTG